GGGGATGGGATCTTGCATCCATGGGGGCAAGAACAGGGACCGTGTCCCGTGCACATTCCCTCTTGAAATCTGCCACAAGGCCACGGACTAGAAAAGTCAGTGTGATCAATGTGCCCATTTTACAGAGAAAGAAATGGAGGCTCCATGTCCAGGAGCACTGCCCAGTGCCTTCTCCCCTCCACCATCGCTACCCCGCCAGCTGAGGGCAAGCTGACATCTCTCTCTCAGGGGGACCCCAGTCCAGCCCCAGCTCTCAGGCCTCTGGGGAAAGATGTGCTTGGCAGGGTGGGTGGAGAACAAAGGAATTCATCTTTCAAACCCAACCTGTTTCCAAGCGTGGCCATGATGAGAGACCCTCTGGGGTCTCAGTCACCACCAGTCAGAAGCCACCTGCTCCTTGTAACTTTTCTAAAGAGGGTGTCTGGAGTCCAAACAATGACCCTCAGGGATGCAGCACAAGGGGCCTGCCCCCGGAGAGGGCCTCTGAGCCACCTGTAAGGGCAGGGAGGGTGCTGAGAAGCTGCTGGGCTCGGCTATGGGCTTCCTGGGACAGGGACCGCTCCTGCCAGGAGCTGTTCCAGAGGCAGAGCAAACACAGACCCGCGCCCCATTCTGCAGGAACCCTCGCCTCCTCCAGCCTCAGGCTCATTCAAAAACCACAGCTTTTTGTTCAAAGAGGAACAAAAATACATCAACAAAAGCAACAGGAGCCTTTGGTTTTACCAAAAGGAGGGGGGGCGAGAAACACCAGTCCCGACATCCTGCCTCTGGAAGGAGCACCTGATCCCCAGCTGGGAACACTGCCCAGGGGCGCAGGGAGGGCTCCAGTCCAACCCAGTTTCTCACCAGGCCCCCAGGCCTCAGGGCTGAAGTGGTGGGGATAGGAAGCAACAAGGAGGCATTGTCTGACCAGAGGAAGGAAACCAGCAGCCAAGAAGATCAAGGCTAGACATGAAGAAGAACTTACCAGCCCTCAGGGGTTGGAGACAAACTGTAAAATCAAAGCCAGCCACTGCCCCTGATGGCAATACATAAAAACGAATGGTTCTGCCAAGTTGGCCAAGGGTTGGAAACACGGGGCCTCAGTTTCCTCATCTATGAAATGGGAGTATGAGGATCCCTGAGCTTCCTGGGGGTCCTGGCATCTCTGAGTGCAAGGATCTGGGGGTGAGAGTGAGGGGCAGGGGCTGCCTGGAGGCTGCCCCTTTGAGGATGTCTCCCTGTCCCAAACACACACCACACAAACCCTTCCCACTCCTGGCGCCAACAGGGCTCCCTAAGACATCTGATCCCATTTTGCTCAATCAGAGGCAGAAAATTCTGGGGAGATGGGACAGTCCCACACCACAGACCTGGATTTGCCCGCTACTGCCCCACCATCCCCTAAGAGCAGCTGGGGTTTGAGAGTCTGCTAGAATCCAGAGACATTTCAAGTCCCCGCACAGGCCCACCCCACTCCCTGAGGCCTGGTGGAAGGCGCAGGACCACAGTCCCTTGTTCCCCAAAACCAGGCACATCTCCATCCTGCTCAGCCCCTCACCCCACAGCTCAAGGAACCTGAAGGATGGGCCCTGATATCTGCAGTCAGTGAAGAGGGGAAGGATACGATGGAGCACCCCTCCTTCTTCCCCGGCCCATGTCTACTCCCCCACTTGACACCCCAAAAGCCGGTTCCCCTCTCGGCCTGCAACTTCACCCCCCGGTCTGCAGCCTCCATGAGTCATGCCCCCAAGGAGGAGAGAACAGCACATTTCTCCCCACCCCCCACCCTGCCCCTGCCCCTGCCCTCAGACTCCTAGACTATCTGCCTGAAAACAAAGCAGCTGGTTTGCAGTGGGGACAGAGCTGCCCCACTTTCATAAAATGTAGCTTAGAACACAAATAACCAAGGGTATAACTATCCCTCTAACCAAAATGGAGCAGACTCACCCCGCCTACCTAGAAACTTCAAGAAAGAATTCAATTAATGGGTCTTCCTACTGCTGGCTTTGGTGCAAAAACAGGCATGCACGCCTCTCCCTTGCCCACAGCACAGCAACGCCTGGGTGGCTGTGGCCTGGGAAGTGTGAACACAAGCACACCCTATCCAGTCCACCTCCCTGGCTGTTCTCCCCAGCCCCACGTCCGGCAGCGCGTGTGTCTGGATACATACCAGGCACATGTGTGAGTGCGTGTCCATAGGGGTGCGCCACCGCCCAGCAGGCCGGCTGTGAGCTCTGGCCCGTGTTCTCCCCCAGGCCTCACTCTGCAGCAAGTCTGGCGCCAGGGGAGGAAGAGAGGAGGCCTCTTTGCTGCTTACAGTCACTTGCCCGAACTTAAATTCGTCTTGAGGTGCCGCCGGGAACAGACAGACAGGCCTCTTCTCCCTTGACCATCCCCCTGCAAGATCCCGGCCGGGGGACGAGCCAGAGACGGGCAGAGGCGGAGGCCTCACACTCACTCACTGGGTGGGCCCAACTCCCTGGCAAAGTGCCAGGAGGAACCACCTGCCTCTCTGGGTCCTGAGCGGGAGGTGCTGTTGAGAAGGAAGCCAGGCCTGGTCCACAAAGCACAGGGCAGAGCTACACCCTGGACACCCCAGGACTCGGAACCTGAATGTCCCTGGAGGAGAGGGCCAGAGTGAACCCCCAGCACGCCAGGACTCGGAACCTGAATGTCCCTGGAGGAGTGGGCCAGAGGCTGGAAGGAGAGTGAACCCCCAGCATGGTGCCTGGCACAGAGCAGGTACTCAGTCTCCTTTGGTGTCCGGTCCAGCGTCCCAGGGTAGGAAGCTTGAACCCTGGGGAAACCGAGGCTTGGGCAGGTCTACAGGGGGCTCCTGCAGGCCAGGCCAGCATCGGGTGTATCCTGGAATTTCCCTGTCTGGATCGCTGGCACAGTCAACTGCTCCGCAGAACTGGCTGAGGAGTGTGAATGCCGCGGGCAAGGTGCTACTACACTGGCGTGAAACACAGCTGGACCACAAAGCCCCCAGTTCCTATCTTCTCCTGCCCAGGTAACATCCCAGCTGGGCCAAAGGTCAACTGGGCGGGGCATAGGCCAAGGCCCCTAAAGGCTGGGGGAACGGAGAGGGGTCAACCCTCTGCTCCCGCTGGAGGCCAGGAGACAGACCTGCCTAGGCAGGTTGGAAGCAGCACCCAAGCCAGGAGGGGCGCTTGTCTTCCGCCTCCCCCGGAGCCCCCCACCCCACTTCCTGCAGCCTCCCCAGAAGAGAGTGAGAAGAGTGAGCTGGGACTGTGGCTCCCGAGGCTGAGGCAACACGAGAAAACAAGGACACGCCTCTGATTTCTGTCTCCAACTCCCAGTGCTCCCCGAGTTCTAGGCTACTGCAGTCTTAGGGAAGAGCCGCAGAGAAGCCCGGGTCCCTGCCACCCACGGGGCTGGGGGCTCAGCCAGGCTGCTGCCTGGGGAGGCTGAGGGTCAGAAGCTGCCCCCAGAGGGGCCTCAGTGCCCAGGATCCAGCCTGAAGTGGTCCAGCAATCAAGGGGTTAAAACTGCCCCAGCCTCTGGCTTCGCTGAACCCCACCCCACTCCCCAACAGAGGGAGGAAGTGGCAGAGAATCAGGGCTTGTGTGAGTCCTTAAGAATTTGAGGAATGTGCCATTTTCCTGGGGATGGGGGGGGGGGGGTGGGGGGGGGGCCAAACAGAGGGAGGAAGTGGCAGAGAATCAGGGCTTGTGTGAGTCCTTAAGAATTTGAGGAATGTCCCATTTCCCTGGGGATGGGGGGGGGCGGGGAGCTGGGGGGAGAGGACCAGGGTAAGTTAATAGAAGAGAAGGAGCAGCTGAGGGAAGAGAGGGGGACCCAGGCAGCCTTCCCAGTGGCCCAGCCCTCCCAGAAGGGACAGCACACATGTTGTTTCTTGTGTGTAAGATTTTATCAGAAATCTGTTTTCCCAGCACCTGGCACCGGTAGCACGTAGCAGCGGGCAGGCAATCCTTACCTAATGAGTGAAAAAAACTCCAAGGAGAGGAGGCTGTGTGGGATCAGCAGGGCACTGGGGGTGCAAAAGGGGGGAGGCAGCCTTTCAAAGGGGTTTAAGACCCCAACCCCACTTAGACAAGTCCCAAGGTTCCCCTCCTTCAGCTGCACAGAGCCTCCTGACAGGGTATTTTAAAGAAAAACTGGACTCAAGTCAGAGTTTTGCTGAACTGTTTTGAATACTGGTCTTGCCCCCTACCTGAAGGGACTTGACCTTCGAAAACCCCTACCTGGCAGGTGGCTGTGAGGTGCTCCATGTGCCCTCGACCCGACCCGGCATGAGTTGGCACTTGTTACGCCCACAAGGTCACCCTGAAGGTGGAAGGTGTTGCACTCCCTGGAACAGCGTGGGATGAGGCACCCTACCCTGCCCACCTCCCCGCAGCAGGCCAGGCTGCAGGTCCGGTGCAGAGGGGAGGGAGTCCAAGCCGACACCATCGGCAGAGACTGGAGGTCTCCACAGCCTCCCTCACCAGACAGGGAAGAGCTCTGCCCGGAGCCAGGCCACCCCTTCCTGCTGCCCCACCAGGAAGGGCTCAGCCAGGAGCCCCCAAAGAATTCGTGCCCAGGCTCTGGCAGGGGCAGACAGAGAGATGGAGACACTCAATGGCTATGAGGAGAGAAAGGAGGAAAGGAGAAGCAGGGAACAAAAACAGGCAGAAACAGGGCCGCTCGCTTTTTCCTCTGATCCCGCCCCCCCAGGCGGGTGCAGTGGGAGGAACGTACTGATTTTACTGGGTTTGGACTGGCCTCTCACTAGACATGTCATCTTGAGAAAGCCCCTTCCCTTCCCCAAGCCTCAGTTTCCTTCTCTGTGAAATGGGAATAAGAGCCCTGACGTCATCCAGCTGTGGTGAAGATGACGTGGGACTGACACTGATCCAGCAGAGTGTGGACGTGCTGGGCGATGTCCCCTTGTGGTCATTAGAACAGAAGGAAGAATGAGGAAGGGGGCCCAGGGGCCCACCCGGGGAGCCACCCAGGGACCCGTCCAACCTCCTGCCCCAGGCAGGACTCACGCGTTGCAGTAGGGCTTCTTCTCGTAGCCCTTGTAGTTCTTCATGTTGAGTGTCATCTTGCAGGTCTCGCAATGGAAGCATGCTTTATGCCAGAACTGGGGACAGACAGAGGGAGGACACCCGTCAGACACAGGGCCTTAGGAAGGGGGCTCAGGCCCTAGGAAGGAGCACTCCAGCTCCACCGGGTGAGCTGGGGACATCGCAGGTCACAGCTCTGGCAGCTAATGACACTCTCCCCCTTTTTACCCTCCCCCCCAGTCAGTCATTTGAGCTGTAAGGATGGGGAGAAGAGCAGATGTGTAGGGTGAGTCGGGGAGAGGCCAGTAATAGTAGTGCTGAGCTGTCCCCAAAGGTCAACTCCACCTCCCAGACCACTCCCGCTGCCCCCAAGCTGGAGTAGCCTCATTGCTTGAGCAAAGCTGGACCAGGGTTGCTAAGAGGCCGCTGCTGAACATGACGGGCAGAAGAGGAGGGCCTGGCCCGGAGCCCCCAGTCCCAGAACCCAGGCATTTCTAACTCCCACACCAGGGGGTCCAGCTCTGACACCTGCCACTTCCTGTGGGACCCCCCACCAGAGGGTAGGAGTGGGTGCCCTGGCTCTAACCACCGATCCTGCACCCTTCCTCCCTCCCTCTCCCGTCTCCCAGGCCCTCACTCGGGAGAGCACCCAGCAGCTCTCTGTGAGGCACTGAAGGGCTCAGCCCACAAGCCTTGGAAGGGGAGCCCTCCTAGTGGACATCGAAGCGCCACCCTGACCGGCTACGTGACTTGGCCAGGGACCACACCGCTGAGCCGTTTCCGGATCTGTTCCTCCTGGGACTGCTGGGGATTCAATGAGAAATCACCTGCAAAGCCCTCAGCGCAGCACCTGGCACCTCTAATACCCGGATGTTAGATGCGGGGCACAGCAGACATGAACCTCGACCAAGAGGGCTCAGAGACTCACACGGGAACTTCCTGTGTGTCGGGTGCAGGTGGGGCTTCACTGTGCCCAGCCACAGCTACAAGGTGGGAGAGGGTGAGTGACAGGTAAGACTCCAGCAAAGCCAAGAGACCCAGCAAAGAGACACCAGGGCCAGTCCAGCATGGCCAGTGGAGGGGAACAGGAGGGAGGGGAACGGATGCAACAGAAGGGACCTCACCCTGAGCAATGTTGACGCTGGGCCAAACCCACGCACATGCGATCTAAGTCTGGCCCTGGGATCTGCACTGACCAGGAGTCCAGCTTCCAGGACCCCGGAATCCAGGCTGCCTGGGTGACCCGACTGGCCTGGTTCTGCCCCATTTCCCAGAAGTCACGGGAGACACTCCTCAGCCCGCAGGGAAGGCCAGAAGCTGGGGAGGGCCCAGGGAGATGTTTAAGGTGACCAGCACGGCTGGTTCTTGGCCATCTGCCAAGGAATTTCCCCCAAGGCAGCGCCTTTCAAAATGCTTTCCTGCCACCATGGAGGAAGGGACAGGAAAAAAAAAGAAGCTGGGAGGTTGGGATACCAGCGGCCCAGGGGTAAATTGGGACGTAATCGCCTTCTAATAGGGTGCTCCCCTGCCAGGGGGACCCGAGGAATCCCCAGCGCAAACAGAAAATGAAGTGAGAGGAGAACCACTGTTGTGGGAAGATGGTCAGCGGGAAGTCTGGAAGCTAAGGGTTGGCTCTCAGCTTGGCCCCCACCCCCGCCGAGGCCTACCGCACAGCCCAGCCCAGACCCCAGGTGCAAAACCCCCACACTTAACCCACCAGAAAATCTAAAAGAGGTGGTCCTTGCTCTAGCTGGTTTGGCTCAGTGGATAGAGCATCAGCCTGTGGACTGAAGGGTCCCAGGTTCCATTCCGGTCAAGGGCACATGCATGGGTTGCGGGCTCGATCCCCAGTAGGGGGCGTGCAGGAGGCCGCCAATCGATGATCCCCTCTCATCATTGATGTTTCTATCTCTCTCTCTCCCTTCCTATCTGAAATCAATAAAAATATATATTTAAATAAATTAATTAAATAAAAGAGGGTAGTCCCTGCCCGGTCAGTGCCCACAGTGGCAGCCCCTCTCCCTCCCCCAATACCTGGGGGGCATTGGCAGAGCGCCACAACCCTGTCACCGCCCAGCCTGCTGGCCTCTGCCTGCTCAGCTGCCCAGGCCCCTGCCTCCCCCCACCCCCACAGAGCCTGCCAGGAAAAATATTCTCTGGAATCCAGACCATGACCCACTTTCTCACACACACACACACACACACACACACACACACACACACACACACCTCTGTAGGAATACACACTGTCCTACGTCTGCGGGGGCCTCCAAAGCTGCCTCCTGATTGATTTGGGGGAGACAAAGGGAAGGAGATAGATACCCCTCCCCTAGCAGATGGCTAGGATCTCATGCTGGTGTCAAGCCCCTTGGGAAGGGGCAGGGTATATTGACTGGACTGGGGGTTCAGGGCCAACACCCAATCCAGGGGTTCCACAAGACCCCTCCCGGCTGCCGTTTGAAGGGGAGCCCCGATATGAAGGGATAGTACCCATTTCCATCCGTAGCTCTTCCCCACCTCACCCCCAGACACCCCTTGCTTTCAGCTAGACATACTAGCGTCTGGGGGTGATGCTCTCTGTTCCTTTACGGGGGCTCGAGAGCAGAATAATAAAAGCACAAGTGGTCCGAGTGCCTTCAGGGTCATGAGTAAACTCTGCGCTGTAAAGTAGAACTAAAACCAGGGTCCCACAGAGGTGCGGGGAGGAGTGATGAGATGACTCACGCTCCGCGCTGGCTGCACTGGGAGCTAGCTGCTGCGTCAGGTCACTTCCCTCACTGGAGAAGGGCTCCAGGTTCAGGGCAATCAGCAGCGCCTGCCCTTGTGTCCTCCTTATGGTGGGAAAGTGGAGGGCAGGAGGACAGAATATGGCGAGTCACTCAACAGCCCCGGGGCCAAGCCTGGACAGGGCAGCCCCAGGAAACCCCCTCCCTGTCTCAATCAGGTCGGCAAGCCGCTCAGTCAGGGAAGTAAGTCAATAAAACCCCACAATGACCCTCTCTGTCTGCCTCTCCCTCCTGTCCCCCTTTCTTAAAGGCCCAGGAAGATGTCAGGGCAGCATTCCTGAGACTTGGGATTCTGGATCTGGAGCAAAGTACACCTCGGGGCAGGCAACTCTAATCCTTCCCACTGCCCTGAAGGCCTCTGTTCGAAGCGTGTCAGCCCTTCCCCCAAGGCTCCACAGAAAACCCACTCCACAGAAAGACAAACAGAGGCTAATGGGTCAGAAGTAAGCTCTCCCGCACGTGGGCGTGGCCTGGACCAGCTCCTATCTCTCTGTAATCACTGTGGAGGCGGGGCAGTGCTGCTCACCGCCGTGGGTGAGGGAAACGCGGCCAGCTTCGGGTCACTGTGCCTGCAGCCTGGCATCCTGCCCTCTGTACCGAGGCGACCCGACTCAGGGTAAGAGGATGAGACCTTCCTCTCCTTTCCTGTCCCCCGGGGTTACGGTTTTTCCCTTCTCTAGGGGTAACACCAGCTCCACTCTGGTTGGGTCACCAACCTAGTTCAGTTGGTCACCAGTTCAGCTGGTTTAAAGTCATGGACTTTGGCTGCATCTCCAGGGGAGATGGTCATTCCTAGTATCCCAGCTCCTGGAAAGGCCCAGGCCAAGGGCATTCCTCAGGCCAGGGTCAGGGACACTAACGAGATAGTGTAAATAAAGATACTTAAAACTATATATATATACATACATACATACATATACATACCTATATATATATTCTTTTAAAATATATATATATTCTTTTTAAATATATATTTTTTTACTTCAGAGAGGAAAGGAGAGGAGGAGAGAGAGAGAAACATCAATGATGAGAGAGAATCATTGATCGGTTGCCTCCTGCACGCCCCACATTGGGTACTGAGCCCACAACCCAGGCATATGCCCTGCCCGGCAATCAAACCATGACTTCCTGGTTCATAGGTCGACACTCAACCACTACGCCAAGCTGGCTGGGCAATAAGTACCTTTTTGCCAACATAACAGGCACAAGAGCGGAGCACAAAGAACTTCAGGTTTGAATTCCACCTCTGGCTGTGAGGGAAATGAGCCGCACACACAGCCTGAGCCGCCATGTACCGGCCCATCATTTACAGAAGCAGCCACATCTGTCGTGTGAAGCTGCTGCAAAGGCTGAGCCTGGCCCCTCGCCTAAGTAGTAGCTACTGTGACGGGGCGGCCACAAGGGGACCGTGGGCACTCAGCTTTAGCTGGTAAAATGGGGCACCACAGCTACAAGGACTTGTCTTTTTAGTGTGTCCTGCCCAGTCTCCTTCTATCTTGCTGCCCCCTATGGAAGCGAGAGGGCAGGGTAGGGGGCAATTTAGACAACCGGAGGCAGAGAGCCCTCCTACTGGGGGATTCCAGGGGAACTGGCACCCACAGTCCTCTACCCTCCCAGAAAGGCTGTCTCCCCCTGCTTTCAGGAGCCCAGGAAAGCAAGCCCAGGGTCAGGGGCAGGGCAAGATTCTTGACAACACAGGTTCCCACCTACAAATGCTGCCTAACAGGGTCTGGGATACAAATCCACCTTTCCAAATCCAGAGGACATTCTGAGGCACAGCCCCTCTCTCCCTCCCCAAAGGCCTTGCAAGGGCAACCCTTCAGAGTGCCTGGCACAAAGCAGGTACTCGATAAATATTTGTCCAGTGAATGAGCCAATGAGGTCACCCTGTTTCCCGCCCAGCTTTAATCCCAGAAGTCCTCTGGGGAAGGAAACCTCGGTCTCCTTGCTCAAACACCGTCATCAGCCATACATATTTATCTAGCGTGCAGAACACACTGCGTACTGCAAGTTGGGGGCGGGGTGGCCATCAGGGGTAACATGGCCTTCACTCACCTAAGCCTTTGGGAGATAAGGCTCAGGGAGGAGAAAAGGTTAACACCAAGGATATACCTTGTGCTTTGGGTCAGGTCATGGGCTGAGTGCCGTAGGGAAATTATAGTGAACTGGGTGGGTCTAATTTGACTCTCTCCTATTGTAAACTGAAAGCCTGGGGAAGTTGGTTAGCAACCTTGCCTATGGGACTGAATGTTCTGCAGGTCTCAGTCCTTGGGGCACCAGTTTCCCAGTAG